CTCTTTCCCTTGAATTTCCTATTGTTTTTTGGTGCTGATTTACAGATCTGTTTGCCTAGGAGAGGGATAGTATTTCATCTCTGTGTGGTATCACCATCACGTCATACTTGCAGACACTGTCCTGTCCCAACAAGGCCTCTCTGTTCTTCTTCAGAAGAGTTTTATTTAATGCCACTGCATGTGTGACAAGACGTTAGATAACTAGAAACAAATTTGCTTGTGATGAAATTTTACTTAGTGGTAGAATCAAATTCATGTTAACAATGTAAAAACATTAATTTATTTCATCTCTCCATGACAAATGGACCAGGAATATCTTACAGATCTCTCAATATTAGAAAATTATTTTAAATACAGATCTTTTCCATTTGGAATTTAAGAACAGCTGTGGTTTTCATCAAGCATAATTTATTTCCCAACTTTGGTATATTAAATTATTAATTATTATAGTAATAATATTAAGTTGTTGAACAAAATTATTTCAAATTATTTCAAGGAAAAATTTAAAAGCTAAAATATTTGGTTATTACAATGACTGAGGATAACTTCTGGCAGTTCTGTATTATATTACTGACACATGGATTCTATGGGTATGTTCTAGAAAAAGATCTGGTAGTGTAAACCTCTGGTTGTATCCTATTGAACACGCATGATTGAAAATGCACAAGACTTTGATTACTGTGCATTTGTTTCTCATAAATCTCCTTCACTACTCAAGCTCACTTATTTCTCCTAAAAGGCTATACAGGACAGAGAGATATTAATCTACTTGCACTGCCAGGATATGAAGTGTTTTATTTATATACTTGATAACTTCTGTGAAAGGTATGTGCGTTATTTTTGCTGGACATGATTAAAATTATAATGCTTTGTTTCTTTCAAGGAAGCTATACTGGAAGAGCAAGAGAAGAAGAAAAGCAAAAACTTGTATGTATATAAGAGATACTTTTCAAAGCACCATTTTAACAGTGCTAATCTGCTTGTCTCATACTTCTACAAACCATGTTAGAAAAGACCCCTGGTGTCATAAGACAACCTACTGTATTGGTTATGTGGTTTTGATTTTGGTTGGGTTTTTTTGTTTGTTTGTATGTTTGGTTCTTTTTTCTTCTCCAGGGCAGTGACTATAAGCTTAAGAATTATTGCAAATATCCTTGTGCTCCTCTCACTTGCTGGAAGTATTTACATCATATATTTTGTCGTGGATCGATCCCAAAGGTTAGAACGCACCAAAAAGGAATTGACTCTTTGGGAAAAGAATGAGGTACACTCTCTTTATGCCACCTCTGTGTTAGAAGCAAGTTCATTGTTTTTCAGGGCTTGCTATAGCAGTAGTGTGCAATGAGGTGTACATCACAAGAGATTAGCCAAGAGAAGTGAGGAACAAGAGGGCAGGGTGGTGGTTACCTGGATCTGTCTTGACACACTTGCTCCCCCTGTTCTGCAGCAAGTTGTTAGCAGAGTGAAGTGGGCAGGGGGATGCTGCAAGACTTCATTTCACAGAGACTGCAGTTCTAGCTGGCCCCTATTTTGTAGGAACAAAACATAAAATTCTCCTGTCCCTTAGAAATCTACTTTGGTGCCCATTGTTGACCTGAGTGAACACTGGGCCAACAGACTAGAAAGGAATTGGATTTGACAATAGCTGTTGATGTCAGCTGGGGGATACTGAATGTTCTGTGAATGCTTCCATTTAAAGGAACAAGTGGGTACTGAAAGCAGGAAGTGGTTAGGTGTGGAGAAGCTACTCATCCTTTTCAAAGGAAGATGCTGACTTCTATTTTCCACTTGTTAAGTTTTTATTTTAATTAATAAAGTAGTAACTTCAAAGCTACGATATCTAGTGTAAAGATTCCTGAGTGATATTCCAGATGTACAAATTTTGATCATAACTACTGTTATTACTAATGGAGACAATTACTTTTTAAAGCATCTCCTCCAATATAAGCAATTACCAAACCATGTACATCAGCAGTATTTCAATCAGCACTCAAGGTACCACAGAAACAGCTACAAAAATGGTATGTTTTCCTGTTCTGTAGGTAAGCGTAGTTGTGTCACTGATTACAATGATTGCACCCTCTGCTTTTGAACTTGTGGCAGCTCTGGAGATGTATCACCCAAGGACCACTCTTCGCTTCCAACTGGCCAGGTATGGGCATTTTTCAGTGTAGAAGATATGTGGAAAGAAAGGGAGGAAGAGAAGATATGTGGTCTGGTTGTTTTAGTCCAGGCAAACCAGAGAATGTATGAGAGGTTGGTGGGATAACAATGCTGATAACCCATATCTTATCCTTGTGGTTCTCAGGGTTCTTGTTCTATACCTGGGAAACCTCTACAGTTTAATCATTGCTCTTCTGGATAAAGTGGACAGTATGAGTGGCACCGTAAGTTTAACTTGATGTTTTCTGAGGTGTAAAGCTCAACAGAATGTGTAGAGATAGATAGAATTCCATTTATTGTAATGCATATGAAATCAGATGAAAATTTGTTTGAAAATTATTAAAACATGTTACAGTTTGATAGGATTGTAACGTTTAATTTGTAAATTTAATTTGTAATGTTCATTTACAACTACTTGTAGTTTTTCAGGATAACTGGATTCATTTGATTGCTCGTGTAACATGATAAATAGATTTCTGAGCATTGTTTAACTATTAAAAAAAAAAAAACAAAACAAAACAACAAAACCTGTCATTTTCTTTGAGCCAAATATTTCCAGCTACCTAAAATCAGCTTTCGGTACTGTCCTTACAAGTTCCATCTAACTGTATATTGACAACTACTTAACAGCCAGCTAACTGCTGCTTGAAAATACATGAAGAAATGCCCCTGTGTGCATACTTTATAGAAGGTACAGAAACCTGCATGCAAGTACAGTTGGAAAAGTAGCTTTTGGGACATTTATTATTTCAGGACTCTGATGTTAACAACAATGCAAGGAATTCTACCAGAACTCTTCCTAAAGAAGACAATTCATCTACAATTATTCCTGATCATTTTAAGCAAAACAGCATTGTCACGTCAGAAGAGGGTCACACTCAAGGCTGGGTTAACAAAACAGTTCCCTTTAACTCTCAGAACCCACAGGATCAGTGCTGGGAGACGTATGTTGGTCAAGTATGTAGTTATTTTACTGTGTCATCAGCTTACTCCTAATCCACATTTGACAGAAAAAATCATGTTATGTTGTGTTCAGTTTTAGAGCTTTTCTTTCTATAAATACCAGACTTTGAACTAAGGATTGTGTAGAAAGAGTAAAGACTATGCAAAGTGATGCGGTCACAGATACAGTCACTGTAATTTGTTAAGTATCTACAATGTGTTTAGTGCTGTACAAATGGTTTTCTGTCAGGCTTTGGTCTCTGTCTTATCTCTGCACAGGCAGATCTCTGCAGATGCATGATACAGATCCTATTCTAATAGGATACATCTTATTAAACTCAGAAAGAGGAACACGACTATAAAAAATGTATAAGCATTAATGTGCACCCTGTGCAGATTCAGATTGTTGCCTGCAAAGATGGGGAAGCAGACGTTAGGCAAGCATAAGCTTGTGCTGTTGGTCATTTGTACAATATCTCTGAAGTCGCCATACATTCAGGCTTGCTAAATCACTAGATAATCAAGAGTTCCTCACTTCTTCAAAGAGAAAGAGGACAACAACAAAAGATTTACCAATACTGTTCATAAGAATAGAGCAAGCTGGGTGGCAGTGTCAGGTACTGTTCCTACTGTTGGGTTTCAGAAAAATCTGTAGACTTAATATGATGCTTTTTGCTTCACTACATGTGACATGTACATCCTTTGTGGCCTTTATTTTGAGAGACTAGCACTGGCACAAACACATACAGAGAAATTTTTAAGCACACAAAATTCAAAAGACGTACTTTGGTCTCTGTCAGTGATGTGTCTAGGCTATTAGATTCAGAATGGTGCTGGCATGCTTCTGACTTGCTGAGCTCCTTCTTCCAGAGTGAGCAGTGTTAAAGGTTTTGTTTATGTGGAGCAAAAGACCCCTCCTAGGTTTGCTAGCCTGATTTCTATTCTTGTATGCCCCACTCCCTAAGTCACAGTCATCAGGAAATTTTTAGAATCTGTGAATCTGTGGCTTTTTGATTGTTTTGTTGGTTGTTTTTTGTTTACTTCTTTGGTTTTGTTTTGTTTTGTTTTGCTTTTTCCCAGAATGGCTAGAGACATTTGGAATTGAATCTTTTCTATTTAACTGTATATTCTTGAAGCTCAATTAAATATAGCATAACCCCATTCATTTGTAAGCAGTGAACAGCTCTCTTATGGTTTGGTGGTCTTACTGCCATTGGGTTTTGGTTTTCTATGAATAGCAAGCATTTCTCGTTGTAAAGCACTTAATAAGTATGTATTACAACAGTCAGTATAATAAAGGGTATAACAGAAAAACCAACCTATTTTGGTTTATCTGGATACATTTTCAAAACAGTTATGAAAAAGAAAGCTTGAAGCTATCATGACCATAGTTTTGTTGCTGCAAGCAATAGTAGGCACACTAGAAGCTTCATTATGTTTGTTCTTTTTGTTAGAACAAAGACATTTAAGGGAAAATTCAAACAGGAAAAGCTTAAAAGGAAATTTATATATATACAAATCGTATTTTATTAGGATATTAAGCACAAGCCAAAACACAAGTACAAATTCAAAAAAGCCATATGCAGTTCATTTGCTTCCAGAATGACTCAGTATATGTGAACAACATGTATTTCAGGAGATGCTAAAGCTTTCAATTATCGACATGATTTTCACAGTCGCAAGCATCCTGCTGATTGATTTTTTCCGTGGACTGTGTGTCCGATATTTAAGTGATTGCTGGTGCTGGGATCTAGAAAGCAAGTTTGTAAGTACTGTCTTTATTTTATCAAGCTAAGATGCTCAATGATGCATGATACCCATGCTAAGATGGGTAGGCTCCTTCCCTTAGTACTCAATGTCTATAAAGTCTTTCTACAGATAAATAATTTCTTGGCAGCACACATCTATAAAAGCACAGATCACGCTGAGTTTAGACTGGAAGGCACAGGGTAAATGTTGAGATTGGATGTTTTTCTCAAGCCTACTCCTATGGCTGTGGTACAAAAATCTTTGTGTTTCCCAAAATGAGATCATGGAGTAGCCCCAGAATCAATGATGAGACAGAGGGCATGGAGTTGCTCCCCACATCCTCTTTTCTGTAGCTGTAACTTCTCTCCATAATGTACATAGTGGTCCAAGAAACAATAATGGGAAGCATATAAGTCCTTTAAGAAAATTACAGTAATTCTTGGTTAGCAAAAAGCTGTTGGCAGGAAAGACTGAGGACTATTCTTTGTCCTTCACTTCAAGTGAAGTAAACCAGAGAGGAATTAGTGTATGTAATCCCCTGCTGCAGAGTAGGTTTTACTGTGTTCCTGCTGCCTGCCAAAAGTTGGTATTTGATCTGGATGTTTCAGGCTACATGCTGTCTGCATAATGATTCAGTCAAATGCTTCTACTAAGTGATCTGAAAAAAAATTGACAACTATTCATCCTACGCTGTGTTTCTTGCAGCCAGAATATGGAGAATTCAAAATTGCAGAGAATGTATTGCATTTGGTCTACAACCAAGGAATGATCTGGTATGTAACCCATAACTAATTTTTCTTGTCCTTTGTTGGCTGAATACTAAGCCAATCTGATGATTTCCAAGGAAACTTATTCAAGAAGGATATTGGTAATGCAGTCTTTCATATTTTTATAATAACAGTTTGTCTGTTGATGGTAAGCTGTTGTTTACCTGGGTTTTTTTCATACGTTGTTCTCCTGCTAAAATTGCTTCTGGCAACACTGAACACTGACAAATTACTTTTCCAGGATGGGAGCTTTCTTTTCACCTTGCTTACCAGCATTCAATGTTCTCAAGCTGATTGGACTTATGTACCTGAGGAGCTGGGCTGTGCTAACGTGTAATGTACCACATCAGCAGGTTTTCAGAGCATCTCGGTTAGTCAAAATAAGAATAAAATATAACAAATAAATCAAATGCAGACAATGGAAATGTCTTCAGTTCATAAGAACAAAATGAGAGGAGATTTTAGCTCTGAAAGTTGACAAGTTTGACAGTAATACTGATAGCAAAGGTTTGTGAAAAAGACCATTGTTATTAAGAAACTGGAGGGTTTATAAAGCAGGACAGTTAAAGATACACTAGAAACGAAAACTATGTCAGGGAAGAGTCCTAGACCAATATCTATGGCCTAACATAAATTTTTTATTGCAGTGCAAATCTGATTGAGTGCAATAACCTACATGTGTTAGCTGTAGCAAGACCTGTTTCTTGATATTTCTTCCTTTGAAAGTTATAAAGTATCTGCTTTTGCCTGCTGTGTCTCACAACAGACTTCCCAATTTTTCTTCTATCATGTTGAGTATCTTAATTATTTACTCAAAATGAATCAACTTCTGCCACTGTTCTTTTTCTTCGCCAGCACAACCAGGCAGCAAGGTCAGTTTTCATAGACCGTTCTCTGGCTGCAGCAGTGGTATCTGGACAGCAGTGCAAATAGGATTTTGATCATTAAGAGTCTGATTAAACTGGCTCTGTTCAGACTATCTAATCATAGCAGAATGATTTTGATCTTTCAGAAATGTAGTGAACTTGTTATGTAGATACAGACTTGCACCTTTTATGTTGCCTCTGTTTTTCTCTCTGATTAGTATAATCTGAAACATGTTATGCCTTCCTGCAGATCCAATAATTTCTACTTGGCCATGCTGCTGTTCATGTTGTTTTTATGCATGTTACCAACAATTTTTGCTATTGCCCGATATAAGCCATCATTAAGCTGTGGTCCTTTCAGGTAAGTTATAATAGACTAATGAAAATTGCAAAGATTTTATATCACCCTTGCACAATAAATTAATCAGGTTCAGTAACACCCAAATTATCAATTTTTAAGAAAATATTATTTTAATTTAAAGTTGACAGGACAATGTTTTTCTGCTGCCAATGCTTTCCAGTTCAAGACTTAATTAGGTGAATAGGTCAATGTTTTGAGTGAGGCTGACATTTTGCTTTATAGAAAAAACAAACTGCTTTTTTTGTTGCTTTTTTTTTTCTTTCATTGTACTGTTCCAAAGCAAACTCCTTGATTATTCAGAGCAGCACTGCTTAACAAATTGATGTACCTAGGATTACTTACAGCTTGGTTTACCTTTGTTGTTACGTTTGTTATTTTTCTAATTCCTCTCTTGCAGTGGACAAGAAAAAATATATGATATTGTTTCTGAAACAATTAAAAATGATTTTCCCACATGGTTCAACACGGTGATTACTTACATCAGTAGTCCTGTGGTTGTCCTCCCTGCACTACTACTTTTATTGTAAGTACTTTGGTTTTCACAGGCAGGTTAAATTGTCTGTATTAATACTGGCCTTATCTCTGAAGAGTCAAATGTTGGTACTGAGGAACAAAACCTGCATTATTGTACTTTTATTAAGCGTATCTGAAAAAAAGCCCACCTTGCTGAATACATGGTGTATGGATCAGTCAGGAATGAGACAGAAAGGTTGTCATCACGTTTTCAAAAGGAATTTCTTGCTTGCTCTGGGATACTGTGTTAGAGAAAGTTCTGTACATTGTGTCAAGGCTTGCAGTGCTGCTGCTCCCAGGAAGTTTTAAGCTCCTTCTTCCCTCCCAGGAGGTCCTTAGAAATTAATTTTCCATTTCCTCATGCTCATTAGTTCAGTTTATGACTGTGAACAGGGCTCAGTCTATCATTTAAAGAAGCTACTCAGTCATCCGGATTTCTGACAAGATAAATAAATTATGAAGGTCTGCTCTGAAGTGTTAATGTAATTGAACTTGCTACAGACTTTCCAATGGAAGTCCTTTCTTACTCTAGTTCCTAATTGTTTTTCACAGCTGGGAATTAATACTTTGAGCTGTTTGAAATTCACTTTTTTCTGTTAAGTATCATTTGTCTTGCATATACTTTTCTTTCATTTTTTCACCTGTAAACTGCAGATTGCAGTTTGTCACAGCAGTGAGCTTTTCAGACAGATCAAAAAGACTGAGGCAGTACTTCCTATTTAACTTTTTCCTCCAAGGTTTCAGTCCTATAAATACGAGTATATCTACAAATTTAAGTAGATAGACTGATAGAAACTGACGGCTAAGGAGATATGTAAATGTTTGTGGTATGAAGTCTAGCTACATGACTTTACTTAATCTGAAAGCCAGTGTAATGCATTACGTCAGGCCAGATCTGAGCTCATCTGTGCCAGTGTAAACAAGGTGTTATTCCAGTCAGTAAACAAAATTACATTGATGCCAATGTGTAAAAAAAGAAAGAAAATACCAAAATTTTCATTTTGACCGTGTCCAGAATTTAAACAACAACAATAAAAAGCTAGAAATGTACTCAGGGTTATGTGCACAATGAAAAGATCTGCAGAAAACACAGACAGAATTGAACTGCTGTTAAATCTGTTTGCAGTGTTGTTTCTTTCTGTCATGTGTATTTGCTTGAAAGAAGGTTGTGATCCATTATCATAGGATAAAGGAAAGGCTAAAAACAGCAATTGAACTTGTACTTTATTTTGACCACCTATAAACCCTCAAAGAGAAAACTGTCAATAATGTTTGAAGTGACTTGTAATCACCTCTTTTACTTCTAGCATGCTAATTTATTACCTGCAAAGTATTGCAAGGTCATTGAAATTCACCAACAATCAACTGAGAATGAAGATTCAAACAGTAAGTACAGCACAAAGCACTTTTACATGCAATTTGTTGAGTCTTCACTAAAGTACTAGCCTAATTAACTCTCTGTAATGGTTTGAAAACAAACC